CCATAGACTTGTGTGTGTCTAAGTGGTGTAGCAGGTTGCTAACCATTTCCCTTCGGATTATGGGGGCTTCATTCTGCTCCCCGTCCCTGTCTTCCAGCTCAGCCACCTGGGTACCCAGAGAACAATTGGTCTTACTATTAAAGACTGAGGCAAAGGCAGCATTAAGTACCTCAATCTTTTCCTCATCCTTTGTCACTATGTTTCCCCCCACATCCAATAAAGGATGGAGAGTCTCCTTAGCCCTCCTTTTGTTGCTAGAGTATTTATAGAAACATTTTTTATTGTCTTTTATGGCAGTAGCCAGATTAAGTTCTAGTTGGGCTTTGGTCCTTCTAATTTTCTCCCTGCATAACCTCACGACATCTTTGTAGTCCTCCTGAGTTGCCTGCCCCTTCTTCCAAAGGTCATAAACTCTCCTTTTTTTCCTGAGTTCCGGCCAAAGCTCTCTGTTCAGCCAGGCCGGTCTTCCTCCCCGCCAACTCATCTTTCGTCTTTTGGTTGTAGGAGCTCATCTTTGACACCTCACAGTTTGCTACCTGCATCTTTTATCAGGAAAGTCCCACCTAAAATTCCTACCATCAAACCTCGGGCACAATGCAGCAAGGTGCTATGCCCTGATTCTTTCTCTCTCTCCAGTATTGTCCTATGCCGTTGGGAAAATGAGTGCTAACCCGAACTCCATGCAATTGCACAGTTACAGCACATTCTGGAGTGAACGGCAATCTTTACCCTGAAAGGAAGAACAGAAAGACTGGAATAACCCAGAAATATGAGGTATGTAGGAAGAACAAGAAAGGCAGTACCTGATTCTAATGTTCATCACTCTACCAGTGAGACCACTACCATCAGCATCTCTTGGAAATGAAGATAAAACTATTGCAAATCTCCTTTAACTGGGGACAAAGACAAACTCTGTGAGACCTAGTACATTTCTCTGATACTGGGCCAAGGATCTGGAAGTGAAAAATATCCTTGAGATTTAAAAATAATTAAAAAAATAAATATAAGAGGTTGAGAACCGATCCAAGAGAATGTAAGTTCAAAAGTAAAAAATGAATAGCACATAGTTACATAATAGCTTCTCCACAGACCCCATGAGCTACACTGGGAAGTCTTACAAGTGCTGCAATTAGCACTGATGAACCTGTCAAACGTAGCAGAAGGTTTCGATGGGGCTTCAGCTGTCAGTGTCATGAATAACGTGTTACCATGACAGACAATCAGTTCCAGTGTGTTAATAACTCATTTATAAATGCAGCATCAGTTTCCTTAGAAGCACTATGCTTGCAGTAACTGAACCTAGAACTAGGTAGAAGTTACCAAAGGGCAGCTTGCTGATGTCTGTCACAGTTTTGCTTGGAACGGTATCCGTGAGGCACACCACGATCAGCCTCCCGATTCTGTACTAGGCAACCTGGTCATCAGCTCCAGCAACACAGGAGGGGAGACAAAGCAGTTCAGGTATATCCCCCGCCTCCCAGATCCCTCATTTCCACACCCAGTATACTAGGAAGAAAAAAAAAAAAAACAAACCCCCAAAAATCTGGAACTAGTAACCCTGCTTTACACCAACAGACAGTTTCACTCCACAGCAGTAACTCCTCCCGGCCATTTACAGTCATAGAACAGCCACTGTAATAATGCAAATGTACTACATTACAGTGAAAAGTCTTGCCCTGAACTGTGCTTTACTGGGTCCTAGTCCTTTTGGCTCTCTTCAAGGTGTGCGAGTAATCCTTAAAGTTTGACAATGCCAATTTTAGGCCTGTTGACAAAGTCAAAGATGATGAAGATGAGTTCTGTAAGATGTGAAAGGTGCAACAGATCCACAAATCAGGGTCTGTGGAGGCTGGAGAGAAAATGGAGGATGCTGGTTGGAAGATTTTCTGCATCTAGCATTTGCATGAGGACCAGCTGGGACTTCTCTGCCAATACAGTGCCCTCCACAACAGATTCCGCCATGGGACTTGATTTTTGCTGTGAGCCAAGTTACCCTTTTCCCAGGTATCTGACTTGGGATTTGTGGTGGGAGAGCTTAACTTACTGCAATTAGGATATAGTTTTAATTCATTATGAGGGGGTGCCCTTCAGTTGTGTGGACATTCAGGGTCAGGAAAAGACCTCCTTTCAGATACAGAAGAATAAAATAACTCTCCTCACTACATCCTCTATTAAACACCAAAGGATGCCTGGACAAGTTCATGTCTATGCATTTCAAAACTGATGGATTTAGAGTGGTATCTTGCAGTATTCCAACAGGGAAACCTCCCCAATATTGGATCAGCACATTAAAGGAACTCCTCCTCTTCGTCAGTGAGAGAAATGGAGGGAGCTTACTATAGTGTGACCTTGCCAGCAAATACAGTTACATTCATGTCTAAAATCCTAGATGCAAAAAATTGCAATCCTAAAGGAGGATCAACAATAGGCATGACTTATACTTTAAGGAGAAAGCATTGCCTTTCTATCCACAGCTGCCAGAGCACGTGACATCAGAGACTACCTCATGATCAGACAGAACATGTTGGCAGATGGTCTTAGTTCGGTGCTACAGGAGTGACAGCTAGTGGAGACACACATGGATCAATATTAACACTGAATTTGTCTGCGTAATATACCCACTGCCTGAAAGGACAGACTTGGCATGCAGCCTATGAACCATTCAAAGAAAAATCCTTGACCATTCTGGGTGCAGTAAGTGAGTGTTCCTGCAGGAAATCTCCCACTGGGAAGAGAAATTCAGTCTAAGGCAGCATGTTTAATTCCTCTTCTGAAAAAATGATTAAGATTTCCCTTCTCAGGTATACTGTAGCATTTTTAGGAAGGAGAACATGTCACAGGCATGAAGAGTCATGTCAGTGCCATGCAAAGGCATAAACATAGGTTAACACACATTCCCACACAGACATATAGCATAATACAGGTTGGAAGGGACCTCCAGAAGTTATCTGTCCAATTGCCTGGGCAAAGCAAGACTAACTTCAAAGTTAGATGAAGTTGCTCAGAGCCTGGTCATGTTGACCGTGAATCTCTTTGGGTCCCTGTTCCAGTGCTGCATAACTCTGAAAACTTTTTTGCCTTATATTCAACTGGAATTTCCACTGTTAAAACATACACAGGTATGCACCATGCACATACATATATGGACACACATACATACATCCAGATGCATATTTGCGCATGCACACATATCCATCTGGAGTTTTAGGCATGAACACAAGTATGCACACACAGATGTTTACATGTGCACACAGATCCAGACATTTGCCCTTAAGGACATGTTCTACATGTAGAAGCAGACAATGATTTGCAGAGAATACTTGACAGCGTTGTGTTCAGTCCCTCACTTTCAGTAGTTTCATGACACTGTTTTGCCAGACTCTCTGGAGAGTTATAAAGATCAAAGCAGCTAAGGATTTGGGGAAGAGCTTCCCCTCTCTTACACCACTTATACTGCCATCCTGTGACTATTTCAAGCAGATGCGATCAGCTACAGAACTCACAGCCCCACCAGTGAAGGTCCTCTGATCCCAGCACAGCCTACTCTTTCACATAGACAGGTTGGATTATGCCAAAAGGCAGCTCAAAGGACCCTGGCACCTACGGCAGTACAGGGCTTTGCAAAGCCATGCCTGGGTTCATGGTGGTACAACTACACTAGTGCCTGAAAGTAGAGCAAACCTCGGTGGTTTCATGCTCCATCACACACCAGTCCTAAGGACTCCCTGCCTCAGGGGGCAGAGGACAAAATGTCCAATGGATTAGTAATCCAGTACCCTTTTGAACCCAATTCTAAGACCCTACTTGCCCTCTCTCATTCCTCAACTTCTTCATTCCCTACAGTAGATTATTTAGCAATTTGCCTGTGATGTCTTGCTCTGTACTGGGAAATGCAGTCAGAGCTGGGGGCACAGACACCAACCTGCAACACATAGTCTAGGGCCAGATGCCGGAAACATTTTCTGGTTATGGTCAAGGTGCCTGTTGCCTCCTCCACTTCATGGGGCTTGTGCCGAGGTGCCTGGGCATTCTTCACCAGTGAAATCTCCATGTCCTCTCGCACCTTGTCAAACTGCTTCTTGGTTTCCTTGAACTTCCGGACGTCACTGGAACCCAAAGAAAATGAGATGGTGAGAATCATTGCTACAAAGCAGCCAGAATATTGCTCATACCAGCAGAGCAGGGGGAAGTGCAACCAGGTACACTGATCTCTCAGAGATCCTGCTCCAGATGCCATTGGGATCCTAACCCACCCCACCAAGCTCCACTGTGTCCAGCTGGACTGACTCCAGATTAACTCTAGCCAGTCTTCCTTTAGAAACAGTTGGCAAGGAAAGATACTGGACCTTACACACTGCCTTCAAAGCCTTAAGGAAATTCTCCAAGGACAGCATCCAGAAAGCCACACCAGATGGCATCCAGCCCTAAAGACAGTCCACAATTGCCCTCAGAATGAGTGGTGAGCAGAACATTTCAGAACCTACCTGTGAAAACACGTGCTTCATATTTCACCTTGTGAAAGGAGTAAAACCAGCTACTTTTCCAATTCAGGACAGGGCATTCAACTAGGGCAGTCAGGCCATTCATGTGCATCTCTAGCTGATTCTGTCTTGTCTGACTGTAAAATCCAGACATTTGACTACTCTTTTCCCCTTTTATAATAGTCACATTTATTAACATTTGCATTCGGAAGTACACAATCCACAATTTTATTTACGCCTAGAGACCTCACATGGGATCAGGGGTCTCCTTTGCAAGGGCAGGGCGGAGGCTATAAAGGCATAGCAACAGACAGGTTTTTTTAGTTTGTTCGGTTGTTTTCTTAATTAAACAGCAGGTACCATTCAGGCAGGATTTGATTTGAGTTGCATGACCACAAAGAAGTGAGGACAGCAATTCCTGAAGATCAGCTCTTACAAGTGGCCCTGGTTCCTCAGGAGTTAAAAGCAGCAATGCTGATTTACAGCTGTAACACAAACACTTATTTTCTGTCCAGGGGAGCTCTGTTTACCTCAAGTATAAATTGTTATAACTTAAAGTACTTAAAAACTGTTAGTAAATAGGTAGCATCCACTTATTCTTTGCCCTAGGGAAGACGAAGAGCCTCTGTTGAACATGACAGTAAATGCTGAACTCTGCCCTGTGGCAAGTTGTTTGAAGTAGCATATACTTATGTATGGATCAGCCTCTGGCCAAGCGACTCTACCATGGGCCAGTACAGTAAGGATAAGTGAAAACAGAGGTGATTGGATTACTGTTCTGGTGGTTGTTGCTTTTTCACATTGCCCCCAATGCTCAGGGCTGCTGAGTTACATGGCCATCAGCTCCATTCACAGGAAAATAACAGGGACGTCCTTTGCATTTTTAGGTCACTTGCAGGAAAGGGCTGTGGGGATTTTACATAACTTTTGATCCAGCTTCCTCGTCTGTGCATATCCCCAGTGGAAAGGCGCAGGAGTTTGGAGGCGTGTGATACTGCTGGAAATTCTCAGCTAGCTCTAATTCAGGCTGCAGCAGCATGACTGCTACCTTAAGATTTAGCTAATAAAACCCTCCTACTCAGCAAGATCTGTGGCTTGGTAACATGCTAAGGCAGTCACAGAGCATTTGGCTACTGACAGCATGGGCAGGGCAAGCTGACCTCTCCTGTGTGTACCACGTAAATAAGGCAAAGACCTTCAGGGCTTGGGGACAGGGAGGGCAGGTTAGAGGGTACAATATTGCCCTTTCAGATACGTATGAATCACCATGCAAGGGCACACTTCCCATTGTTCCTTTGCTCCCATCGTCAGCCAGGAAGTTGCAGATTGGCCCTAGTTGGATTATTCAAAATGGTCCCAAGCATAGAAATTATTTTCCAACCAAGGGCAGGAGCAATGCAAAGATCAATGCACCAGGGCCTGCAGAGGTTGAGCAGTACGAATGTAAAAAAAAAAAAAAAAAAACAGTAAGTTGCAAAGATGCTGAAAGGATGACAGACCCAAAATGAAGGTGAAATTCCCCCTTCTGACTGCCAGCCTTAAGCAGATTAAACCTGAGCTCATCAGAGAAATGATTATAGAGAAAGCAGAGGTAGGGTGAGTGCTAGGCAAGAAGATGGGGATGAGGAATGGGGGGGTCAGCTAGGGACCCCCTCCGTCTATCAAACCACACAGCTGCTGAGGGATTCACAATTACCAGTTCTCATGGCAACCAGTCCTGCTTAGCTGAAGGCCTCGGTTCCCTCTCTGACCTACATTCAGCTGACTCGGGAGCCAGTGCTGCACCAGGTGCCTGCCCTGGGGAAAAGAGGTACCCGGAGGAAACACGTTAATGCAGCAATGGCAGGGACAGCCTGCTGAGAGACTTGATCAAAGGTACAGACTGTCCCATTCAATTAACTTCCTCGGCCCAGTTCTTCTGCACCTCAGGCCTGCCATGTGCAAGTCAACATCCTTAATATGCAATATTCTGCATTGCTCACACCAGGGCATTGTAAACTTGCTTTCCATTAGCAAAGAACTCAGTGGTCAAGCTCCAAGCTGAAGGCACAGTGATGATTAGCTGCTCCCTCCACACAAGAAGGGGCCTCCTGTCTGTTTCATCTTCCAGACAGATGCTCAGGTTACTCCAGAAGAGCAGGGCTGCTGTAATTTTGAGTGACTAAGCATGATGCTTGGGGAGCTAAGAAAACAATGATTCTGCTGGACCCCAAAGTCATTTGGCAGCAAAGTTCCTCCCTTCTGCAAGCATGCACTAGTTTAAACCACTAATGAAACCCTGCACTGAACATAAGATAACATGAGATGTAGAGCTGGCCCTGCTCTGCAGGGATCTGAACTCTGGAATGCGTTTAACCTAGAGGATCAGTGAGAAGCAGCAAAGATGGGCTCTGCAGATGAACTTTTGCCAGACTTCGGGATGATGCTCTGATCTGGAAATATGCTACTTGTCTTTAGCTTTAGCTATGAGCTGGGAACAGGATGAAGACATCTGGTTGACAACAGAGCAACCAAATGATAGTGTAGCAAGATGACAGCAATAGCCATCTCACAAACCAGATCCTTTCCTTTGCCCTTCAGCATCTCTTCTGCTCCAAGCAGAGCCTTCAGTAGTTGTGTGGAGGTTGTAGTTCTGTTTCCAGTGCACAAAGGACAGGTGCAATGGAAGTTCAAGAATCTGAAGACCAAACTGATAAGACAAGTACTCACTCTTTCACAAAATTGTGCAGCTGCTGCCGAACTGACCTCTGAGCCTGGTCAAACAGGATCTGAAAGAAGAGAGAGGGAAAAGAATATCAAATATTTTTGAAACATGGAAACATTGAGGAGTCAGAAAATCCATGAATGCTCTCTAGGACCTTCAATGTGACGGACTCAGCATTACTCCAGGGCTTAGTGGTGTCCAATACCTGATGGCTGTCATAATGGATAATAACTTTTTTCTGTAGCTGCAGCACTCCCTTACAAGTGCAGAATTCCTGCACCGCAGGTTCCACAGCCTCTGCCAGGGCTCTGAATATCTCAGAGACCTATGCCACCAACATACCTTCATAAGAGGAGTGTTTGTAGGAGCAGTTGCCTTCCTAGTCCCCACTTTGAACTATCTCTCCCAAGCCTCGAATTTCTCATTTTGCCAGAGGAGGGCACTGTCACCTCAACACTACACCACTTAGGGAAGGAGACAGGAACAATGGCTGAAGGTACATCACAGCCAGCCACACGCTAATGAACATGGGTGAGAGGTCCAAGCATACGATATAAAGAGACTTAGTTCCTACAAGTCTTTTAAGTTTTACTCTTCTGTCTGTCCCTCACAAAAAAATGGTCCCAAGCCCATTACTCTACACCCTCTGCCCATCTCATCTCCAGCCCTCTCATCTTCCTTTAAGAAATGTTCTCCCCCCACCCTCTGCTAGATGCCGAACCGTAGCATCTGCTCAGCTCCCTCCCATCCATCTCTAACAGGCACGATTACAAATAACTCCGTATTTCAGACATGCATTGGGATGACACAGCATTTTGGCTGATTGGGACCAGATGGGCAGAGGCTCCCAGACCGCATAGCAACTGCAGCAGGAAGTACACATCGTCCCGGGGTTACAGAGAAAAGCCGTTTGCCATGCTGCAGCTAGCAAGAATGGCCCACAAAGAATGGACAGGGTCCCCATTTCATTCCACCATCAGGAACACAAGGCCTGGGCACTGGACCAAAACTTAATGATACCCTGAAACATCACAGTGCTGGGATCTGGCATGATTACAGCTGTTTGGCATGAGTAACCCTGGCTTATTTGCTCCAACACTGTGTCCCGAGCAGCCAACTTAACCCAGAGGGGTCCTGGAACACACAATGGCAGCTGTGTCTGTCTTCCTGAGGACAGAGTCACCAGGAGGAGCATTTCCCAATCCAGCATTTGGCCTTGCTTTCTCTCCTGAAATGACCAAAGCCCTTTCAGGGGAGGCTGCCTGAGCCCACAGTGTGAGGGACTGTTCTCAACCAGGGAGCGTGAGGCTGACGCAGGACTTCATCAAGGCACCTTCTCTCAGCAAGCAGACTGTATGAAGCCCTTCAGATTAAAACAAACAGCTTTTTCCAGTTTGCTTTTTCCTCCCCCTTCCTCTTTGTGGCAAGCTTCGATTTCCAGTGGGAGTTTTTTGGGCAGCTTCCCTTGATACTCCACCCACCATCTCTCCTCTCCTTTTCTGGCCACCTTCTCTGCTTCACTGCACAGTTCAAGTCAGACCCAGAAGTGGTGAGCACCTCTGGGTCTCCTGGCTTTTTCGAAGAGGGAGGAACAGTCATCTTATATCAGACCATTTACAGTGAAAAAGAGCCGGCATTGCCTAAAGCAGCAGCTTTTTGTGAGGAGGTGGTGAGTTAACCTCGTCTGACTGCCAGATGCCCACCAAGCCACTCTCTCACTACCCCTCCTCAGCAAGACAAGAGGAGAAAATAAGATGAAAAAGTTCATGGGTTGAGATAAGTACAGGGAGATCACTCACCAGTTACGATCACAGGCAAAACAGACTTGACTTGGGGAAGATTGATTTAATTAATGACCAATTAAAAAGAGAGGATAGTGAGATACAAGAACAAAACTAAATGCATGATCCACATTCCCAGCCTGAGCAGTACTTTGTCTACACCACTAAGATCTCGGCAGGCATTGCAGAGATCTGACATGTGACACACTCTGAGGTGGTCACAAGCTTTAACCTTCTCATGCCCTGTAGTAATCTACTAGCAAAACCACTCTGGTTCATTCCTGACCCTTCCTTCCAGTGCCAACAAACTCAAACAGACACAGATGTCCTCCCTACCCAACATCTCCAACTAGGAGATAAGCAAGCCATGCTTTTGACACTACACAGGTGTAGTACTCCAAACAGAATGCAAAGCACTCCGCATAGAAGCAGCAGCATTGGCTGCAGAGCCTCAAACACATTCATTATGTGTATTGCTGCAGCCAAGGACAAAGCAAGGAACATGCCAGGACTAGCTGAGTATAAACAGCCATGAGCGGCCTCTAAATATGAACAGATGCAAAGCAAGGGGGAAAGAAAGAAAACCCCAAGACCACCCAGCTTTGTGTTTTTACCAATGTAAATTATTTACTGCTCTTGGCATCCATTCGCTCTCTCCAACGGCATTCCAAGACGCATTGGCCTGCAACTTTTCCCATGGAGCAGCTTCCCCAAGTGATGTTTGGGCATTGACAATGCTTCCCTCCACTCATGATACCATGCAGGGATAGGGAAGCAGCAGGAAAGCCATCTGGTTCCCACCTGCACCTACATCTGGAAAGTTTCCATCATTGGTTTCCACCAAGATGACACATTTGCTTAGGATCAGGGAAAGGAAGGGACACTCTTATGTCGTCCTCAGGACTGCAGACAAGTACCCTGGGACATTCCAGGGTACATAAAAATCAAACCACACAGCTAATGAACAGGGCTTCCTCAGCTTGATACATAGCAAATCTGGGCTACACAAAGCTACGATACGGATGGGAACCAGTGCGACTGAAGGGCTTCACAGAAATGCAGGCTGTTCCCTGCTGTGTGATGACAAGCAGATACCACACTAGGCAGTGCTAGTGTGGAACACTACATCCACCTTACTATTCCTGCCTGGAAAAATCAGCTCCTAGCTGGTGCCCTAGGGTACTGCATTGAAAGAAGCAAGCAAAAAGTCTGCTGAGCACTCAGTACGCAGGACAAACCAAGCAAGGTCCCAAGCCAGGCAGATAACCCTGGAAGTAGGATACTGCCCTCGCCCTTCTGCGGTAGTCAGAAAGGCTCTGCACACCAGTGTGTCTGGCTGGAAAAAGGACAGATGCTTTGAACAGCACAAGTGAAGCATTTAAAGAAGGTCTCTGCCTGTAACAGGTAGGCACTCTCCCAGCAGGGTGCTTCCAGGCCTATGTGCAATGCTCTTCTCCTGCCACAGCACGGGCTTGTCCTCAGGCTGCCTAGGAAGAAGAATTAACTAAGGATTCATTCCAGGTTTAAAAACCAGAGCTCATAAAACTGCTCCTTCCTGTTTACTGAGAGAGAATTGAACTCATGGTGACCACGTAAGCAGTATTCCTATGCCTGTGGTACAGGGACACTTCTATGTGGAATTTTAATTTAAATATATCTGTATTAGAACAGGAGAACTGCACACACGAGGAAGACAGGCCATATATATCCATCTGCTGCTCTGTCAATACTCCTCTCCCCTGCTCCTGTTATTCACGCACTGAGCCCCACACCACCGTGATGGTGCCCTTCCTTCCAGTCTGCACTGATTCATACAGTGGTTTGCCAAGTGGTTTGTGAGGGGATACCAGGTAATGAATATACCTTGCCTGCCAGCAGCACCTCTGCTGAGAAGCATCCTATGATACCAGCATTACTTTTATTGCTTCTTCATTAATTTTGCCAGGCAAGATCATCAGGGGAATTTTTTCAAGTGGGTCCTCCATTCAATTTTCAATGCAAAATAAATAGAGTTTTAAGAGCTACAGTTTCAAACATAAAACCATCCCTTGGCTTTTTCTCCTTTCCCAGAAATACTTGGAACAAATAATTTGTTTTAAGATTTTCCAGGCCAAATACCACCCCACCCTCTCTCTTAGCTTCCACCAAGACATGAGAAGTCCAGCCTATGACTCACACACATCTGTGCCTGAGGAGGGTCAGCACGAAAGAAGGGAGTTAACACAGCTCTCCCTCAACAGCAGCAAAAGGCTAGATCCTACATTCCACCTTCCCAGCATGGGCTTCTAAGGAAATGGGATAAATCCAAACCTGTGTTTGACAGGGGGCTTAGGAATTTCACACCCCCAAGAAATGAATGCAAGTTCAGTGGCGCAGGATGTTATTCCTGGAACTGCAAGCCTGAAAATCAAGATAGAGGTCATCCGAGATCCAAAGGGATGCCACTGCTACAGGACTCCCACATGACTCCTTGCAGAGCTTACAAGAGAAGAGGTGATCCCACCAGGCTCCAAAGCAAAGCAGAAGCAAAAAAGAAGTGAGATTGCCTGGCTGTAGACTGCTTCTCTCAGCACTTACATGCATGAAGTTCAGAAGTAGGACATCGCAGCTGCACATGGGAATAGTGCTTGAGTAGAGACTAAAGGTAGGCAATGGCATTTGTGGTGGGAATTTGTCAAGGAGCAGCAGAAGCCATTGGACCAGGAGCTGTAACGCAGCTAACAGAGCAGGGGCCTCACCAGCCAAGGCTCCACACCACCACACCAAGAAAGCAGGGCAGGTCCAGAGATGGTGGCCAGATTCAACCCAGAACCCAGATCATCAGGTAAGTTTGTGGTGATGAGGCAGGTCCAAGGCCAAGCTGGGATGTCAGTCCACGTATCAGAGTCAGACCCAGAGATTGCCAGGCAGATCCATGGTGACAAGGCAGGTCCAGCATCAAGCTAGAAAAATCAGCCTGGAAGTTGAGATCACCAGGGTCCATAGCTGGGTATGGCTGTAGCTGAGCTGCAGACCTGTACTCCTACAGCACAGCTCAAACTAAGACTAAAGACCCCAGGCAGAGCTTAAATGGAGTCCCTGGGCCCATGGGTGGAGGGTGTGGGTGGAGGCCTCAGGTGAAGCTGGTCAGAGCCATTAAGGTCTATTAGTGCACTGAGAGCCATAGCCCCAGACGAGACCAAGGTTACTAAGAGAATCAGCCATTCTCCTGCAATAACTGGCCCCAGCTGATGAGATGGAGGGTGTGGAACTTCCCCTGCAGCTGCCTGACATGTGGACAAAG